GAAGTGGTGTATCTTCCACATGTTCAGCCACGATGCGATTCGAACAGGTCTCTAATGAAGCCTCATATTTCTGGCTACCATGTTCTGGCAAGTGGGTTATCTTCGTTAGAGGTTCGGTGATTATCGCAACCAGTTCATCGACGCCTTTCACGATAGAGCAATATGCGACAACGTGTGTGCCGGGCCCGTTGATCTGGCTTCCCGATACATGTATTTCTTGCGAGATTTCTGGAATGAGAAACTCATAGTCCTCAGAAACTTGATAGACCCCATAACTTGACTTTCCATAGTCTGAGCCCGTGACAACCATCCGTCCTAGGGCAACAAGTAGAATGGAAAACACACAGCTCATTTTCCAAAGTTCGATCCAGTCAGCAATGGGTGAATGTTGGCCTCTAGAACTTGATCCGCAGCTTAGTAATGCAAGACTCTAGAATTGTGGAACTTGGAATAAAAATGGATTTATTGATGAATATTTGGGAACCGAGTTGTTGCTGCTTCCACACTTGACCACAAAGAGTGTCTTTTTTCCTTCAGTCCCCAGCCGCCAGAGGTAAGTATTCGGGACGGCAGCACAGCACACAGCACACAGCACACAGCACACAGCACACAGCACACAGCACACAGCACACAGCACACAGCACACAGCACACAGCACACAGCACACAGCACACAGCACACAGCACACAGCACACAGCACACAGCACACAGCACACAGCACACAGCACACAGCACACAGCACACAGCACACAGCACACAGCACACAGCACACAGCACACAGCACACAGCACACAGCACATAGCACATAGCACATAACATCATCTAAAAAAGCAACAAACCAAGACAGCTGGATAATATCATCATGATTACATCTTTGTCCGGCATTGACGGATTCGCCAATTAGAGTTCGCATCATGTCGCATGTGTGGTTAAAGGAATATTAGCGATACTTGGCGGCGAGAGTTATACGCAGGGGGTGAAATTTTAGATGATGGAGATTATTCTATTTGTGGTTTGAATTTGATTTCATTATCCTGACTTGGCGCCTTATGGGCCCGTGCAGGTATCAACTAAACTTTTATTTTACACAGGAAAGCTTGCAGTAAGATTACCCTTGACTATCTGATTGGATTCTGTGCCTATAAAGTCTTACCTCAAGGAATTACACTCACTTTACTGGTGCCAGTGTAGATTCCGTCATTGTTCTGTGTTCTCATATTCCCCTCTCAGCTTGATCAACGCCTCAATTTCTCAAGTAACCCCTTCTATTGAATCTGCTGTGCATTTCTAGGAATATCTTTGACGTTATTTTTATATAGTTTTATAAGATCAGGTTCTCGATTTTCGTAGCAATTCGCCCCTTGCCCTTGTCCATTTGGACAAGACATGTCCATGTGCTTTACATTTTTGGACGGATATCCAGATTGGCATCGCAATTTTCCTGATCCTGGCACAAAATTTCGGTACATATAAGCATCTAGCTCAATGTGCTGGCTCCTTACATGTGTGGCAATGCTACTCTGGGCCCTATTAATGTTATGGTAGATATCAATAGGTGCTCTCTGTGGTTCATCACGAGTATACTTACTTTATCATCTGTCGGTATATCACGGGTATGAAATGTGCTAATACAATAGATTTAAATATCCAGAGGAGTTGGTTGTTCTTTATTCTCGCTCCTTCATCCAGAGCGAAGCTGATAATATAAGATGTTTATGTCAAGCACATGGTGTTGGCGTGTCTGCAGTGGGCAAATGTAGGAGGCGACTTTCTCCGACGAGCTAAAGTCAGGTCATTTGAAGCCGTTGTGAACAGCCCAGATGTGGCTAGAATCACAAAGTGGATACTAAGCAAAGGACAGATATAACAGTTTCGACTTGCAGGGGAAGTCGAAGTAGCAATTTAGGATATAATAAAACGATCTGGAAGAGGAGAGGACGAAATCCACACGGGCTGAACAGTGTGCACTGCACTTCGTGAAGGTAAACTAAATAAATTGATAGGAATATAAACAGTCAGGATCAGAGGGTTTTCACCAAATTGGTTTCTTCCTTTATAAATTATGTAGATAGTCACCTGTATGGTCCCACAGGATGCCTGATCGGGATAATTGAAATCAATTTCAAAATACAAGATGTTCCACTACGTGTATTACATATTTAGGTCACAAGATTGTGCAAACCTTTATCTATCGACTCTATTGGTGCGACAACTATCTAACGATATTACTACTGCTACTTAATAGGCGATGTGGTTGTATCTATATAACCACATGTTCCGACATCATCTTTGTCTTTTTATTTGTTTATTGTGCTACTGAGTCTATGACAACATAAAATATGCTGGTCCTCTCTGCCTACAGGCAAAGGATACCTATGCCAGTAGTATATTCCCTCCTATGCCTCCCATACAGCTCCCCTCAAACAGTTCTACCCCTCACAAGTCCTCATTGAATCATACACCTAGAGGAGCCCTTTACCTTTCATTGGCCTCATCTCCAGCCAACGAAACGATAGCTATTTGTGGGTACATACCAGCTGAGGTAAATAGCAGAAGCCACTGGGCGCGAGACTCTTCTAATGCTGGTTTCAGGACTGAATTGGAGGACAAAGTGACGCCCCTGAAGAGTTTGAAGAGGCCTACTAGCTGGGCGCTGAAGGCTTGTTGGTACCTCGGGAAATTCATCCTCTACGTTCCTATCGTCAATTATAACTCTTTCCCAAAAGTTGTGATGAAATGTCAGGAAAGTCTTGACAGAGTGTAGTTGTTGTAAAGTAGCTTAGCCAAACTCCTTTGCGCCGCATGAGGTACTGGAGAGCGCAGTAGACTCATAGACAAGGAAAGTTTCCCTTCTTAACCAGCAGGAACCTTTGTCTTGGCGCCCACAAATTTTCCAAAGATGAGAACCTCTCGGAAGACGTAAGTTTCATCGTGCCTTTTGGTGGCCTCTTACCTCTTTCATTCCACGTTCCAGCCACCTGTCCTCCCTTAAGAGGTAGAGTTTCATTATAGAAATAGTCCCCCATAAGCCAAATCCCAAGCTTTGAATCTCATGACTTATTCTACTCATTGTGGGTATACGTAAAGTGGTAATTTTGTAGTGAGAGTTGGCGGTAATTAATGACACAAGCTCCGATCATAAATTGAAGCAAGTCTTTTATCAGTCTTTGAGGTCAGGTGGTGTTGCAATATTGAGGTAGAGGATTTGCGCGGGTATGGTATGAGCGGCATTGAGAAGTTGAATGTAAAGTGCTTGTGTTTGCTTTCGGTTGCGATTCTTCCCGGCTGTACCAGATATGCAGAGCATCCTGAGCGATTGTACCGGTACCACTGAAAGGTAGATGATTCATTTTTGCCGTTAAGAGAGTATTTTAATATGGTAAGACTGCATAAAGATTTATTCTATTGCTTCATCTACTATTCGCGCATCTCTGCGTGTGAACGGATCACCGCTCAGATTCTTCTCTCTTCAACAATCATTGTGTAATCAGCTACAGATCTGACACATCATCAGTGCTTCGTATGGATGTTACATGGCTTTTTCGCCTTGTGAGACAATCATAGTCTAGATTTTATTAGCATACACCATCATGAAGTATTTTAGTTTACTCTGAACAGTTGATACTCCACCATCAGTACACGCGAAAAGAATGTTTAAAATATTTGATTGTCTGAGTAAAACTTTCTTGTCTATACAGAACAGTGCATCGATATATGTGGTCAAGCCATGCTGGATTCAAAACAGTGGGTGGGCGAAATCTGTACACCTGTCACTGGTATCCCCTACAAACCTCCAGCTCTTACTGTGGGGTCTGCAGAGCCGAGATTGAGTGGCAAGTCCTCACTTAGATGAGGATTCCTAAAAGCTCTCGCGGTCTATATCATCTTCATCTCTCAACACATTCCCCTGTCACCATTATCATGAAGCTTACCACGATCAGATCAGATAGTAGGGTCGGAGCCCTACTCATCACCAACCCTTGATCATGGAGATGCCATCCGATGAGTTTCCGGAGCGTACCCAGTACCCGATACGGCGATGGTGGATTGGATCAAGTTGGCCTCTTAAATTGCAAAGGGAGATATACATGGATTTGCACACATGTGTTGCTAGGGCTACATGCCGTTGAGGTATTTCCCTAGTGCAAGTAGTCTCTATTGCTACCATTCTTATTTTTTAGGCAGAAGGTTCCGTGGAAAAGGTGGCTGAGTACCACGGGTAAATACTGAGTTGAATAGCTTTTCGTCACATGAAATCTATCAATGATCTTTCAAGTTCGATTAGAGGGTAGAAACACTGTCTAAGATGTGGCCAGGGCCAGAGGAGAACCCAATGTGTTATTTAGACTTTGTCTAAAGTAGTGCAAAAAACAACATCCTAACAATGTTTGGAAAGTTTGAGTAGTCTGAACACCCTCTCCACTTGGGAAGTAGACGCCTATACCATAATTCGCGCGGAGACAGTTAAAGAATGATGGAGGCATTTCTGGATAACTCAGGATTTTTGACACGTTCCCCTGGGTAGGTATTCACGGATGAAGGTTGACTTGGGGTGAAGAAAAAGCCACCACAACTTCGCAGTGGTACTTGCAAATGAAATCTGAGGGACGAGTGCTCTTCCTTCATATTGAGTCATCTTTTCTGTATTTTTTCTCTGATATTGTGTGTAGCTAGATAGCTGCAGACCCGATTGAAATCTGATACAAAAAAATAATAAACAATGTTTGGATTAGTAATCATCAGTACGTGCCACCTTGGATGCAGATCAGTGTTGGAGATAATTCACTACTTACAACACATTCCCATCTTCTGCAGGCAATTTCCAGCGACCACCTCTCTGCAGCCAGAGGCCAAACTAAGTGTTGGCAGAAATTCATCTTAATCATGAGTGGCCCTGCCATGCTTCACTTATCGCGAATCCGAGACCTAATCATACTCCACTCATCCACCTCTGACCTCGGACTAACGCCCGATAAACACCCTTATACTACCCGGGTGATATGGCAGATATGAAGTGCAGTCATACCGGGCGCAGTGCAGGGGGCCAATCGATAGGCAGCATGTCAAATCCTTTGGCTGTCGTCGATACCCTCCATTCGAAAAGCCGGGCCACGCCTACCGCAAAACAAGCCCCGCGCCGAAAGGGCCGCGGTCGTCGTCGGAAGACAGATGATGACCGCGAAATTGAGACTGTAGTCTTTGGAAATGTGAGGTTCCGTGCGTGGTATCAATCCTGGTACCCCAAAGACTTCATTGGCGAGGGCAAAGGGGTTATTAAGAATCTGTATGTGTGTCCGAAATGCTTTGCATATAGTCGGGGTGAAGATGATACGGAGATCCATGCCTGGCTCAGACATTGGAGAAGTTGTCGGAGGGTTGTGATTCCAGGCAACAGAATCTACGTGCATGGTAATTGGGAAGAGAAGGGCATAGATGGTGTGGAAGAAGAGAAAGGAACGTGGAGTATTTGGGAGGTTGATGGAGCAACAGAGACAGTGAGTTCTTCCTTTCAAAGCTTTTAACACGACCCTGCAGTCTGCTAGAGCTTCATCTCGCTTTGGTTCAAGGCGTTTGAGAAAACGCAATTGGCTAATCAAAGTGTCCCAGCTATTCTGCCAAAACCTCTCCCTCTTTGCAAAGATCTTTCTTGATAACAAATCAGTTTTCTTTGACGTCTCTACTTTCAACTTCTTTCTCTTGGTCTATGCGCCCCCCTCTGCTGATCCACCTCAAAGTCCCCAAATAGTTGGATTCTTTTCCAAGGAGAAAATGTCATGGGACAACAACAACCTTGCCTGCATACTGATTTTCCCCCCTTGGCAACACCGAGGTCTAGGCTCACTACTGATTGGAATTAGCTATGCGATTGCCCGGCGCGAGGAGATCATGGGGGGACCGGAGAAACCGATAAGTGAGTTAGGTATGAAAAGCTATCAAGGTTACTGGGCTAGCGAGATTGCAAAGTTTCTATTGCAGTGGAGGGAGGATACTCACCCAGGATTGGATGTCAACACTATCAGCCGCGGAACGTGGATCAGTCCTGACGACTGTTTATCGGTGTTGAGGGAGATGGAAATCTATGAGCATGGTGGGTCGTTGACATTAGCTTCGCACAGCCTACAAATGGCCGATGAGCAATCTGAGGCACTTGAAACACAGGGGAAGCTAAGGAGGCGAGGGACAAACAAAAAGAAAGACTGTGTTCACATCGATAAACAGAGGGTGAGGAAGTGGGTTGCTTGTAAAGGAATTCGTATGGAACGGCTGGTTTGTGAACAAGGATTTCGCCCCGGATATGCGTTAAAGATACGCCAAACATTGGAGTAGAGAAGGTACCTGGTCATACTGACCCCAGAAGGGGTGAGTAGACCGCACAATTATTTGAGGGAGGCTGAATTAAGTCAACTATCTGGCTCCTTCCTCGAAAGGTCCCTATCATGATATTTGTACCCTCTACGGCACGCTACCCCAGAGATCCTTGAAGCAGAGAGATGGCGCCGGGATCTCTCAGTTCTCTAGCGCGTCTTAGTTGGCTCGACTCGATAACTACAACCCGGACCGACTCGGGATTGCCGGGGATACTACATCTCGAAGACTCAACCCATACAAGACTGATTGGAAGTATTGGCGTAATGTTAGGTTAAATCCTTTAAAGGAGCAGTTAATTTAGCATGTAATCTTTGACATCAATTGAGTCCACATGACTGGGATATAAATAAAACTAATTTCAATTGTGCTCCAGAAAGTCTTATCCGATACTTTGCAATCAGAGCACGTGACTGAGTGATCACTTGATCAACAGCTAGACGCGTATTATCTTGGCGCTAAGTAGCAGCGCAAGTTTGCGCAGCATTAGCACGCGACAGACTGGTGAGCGATAGCAGGCACTCAAAAGACCCTTCCAAATCAGTAGACAGCGGGATCTTTTGCTCTTAGCTTTGATGATGGTTTGAATTAGCCAGCTAATATACGTTTTCTGTCTTCGCTTGGGCGGTGATGATAACTAATCTGAGAAAATGGTCTGGCCGCGCATGGGACGTGCAGAAATTCCAGCTCATAATAGATCATATATCTCCCTTGATTACGGCTGTGACTTGAACAACTAGCAAGGACTGTCTTCTACTATATTCCCAGTTCATGTTCCGGTAAATCTCCTCATGGTGCATGGCCATATCAGCCTCTCAGTTTCAGCAGCAGAGCTCTGGAAGATAGTCACTTACGAGCTTGTCGGTGAATCCAGATGAGTCTGTAGCACTGTTAGCGTTGAGGCAAAGGATTCACCGTCTCAGGTACGAGATTAAAACTCTCCATTGACAGCCTATGCCCGTAGCAGCTGGCAGAACGAGATATCTCCATCTTTCTGTAGTGGGAACGGCTAATTATATGGGATCCTTGTATGCGGGGGTGAGATGGCGTAGGTTGTGCTTCCGATATGGACTGGATGGGGCGTTGCCTACGGATACTCAAGACTTGCGGTCGATTTTACATGCGCACGCGCGAATTATGAAGAGCTTAGGACTGGTCGTTCATTCGGGCTGAACTATGCTGAGTCTAAGAAAACTGGATCGTGTCCATGTTTTGCATTACTCTCGCGGTTCGACACTTAGAAACGCGGCATTAATTGTTCTAGCTGTCGCCTTTCGTAAACAAACTATTCATTGGGTAGAGACTACTAAATAGATAAAGCCGCTGGATTATCCTGCTCAAACAGTATTCATCTCTAGCAGCTCTACCACCAACCTTTTAACCGAAAAACCTACCAAATATGCGTTACGCCGTCCTAGGTTGTCTTATCTCGAGCTTTGCTGTGAACAGTTTAGCTGGTGTTGCACACAGCTCTGATGAAAGCCCCGTTGTATCAGATGGCAATGGTATCGCCGCTTCTATCGGAAAACGGCACGTCATTGTGCTCCCACCTACATTTAATAACACCTCGCCATTCAATGACACAGATTCTTCAAAGCCTCCAGTATCTTCGCCAGAGCCATGTGGGAAAGTTGTAGAGGTTTGCCCAGAAGCTTCAAAAGATGCGGGATCTGACTCCTCGAAAATCACGCACATGAAATATCGTTGTGATCTTGCTGTATTCCATCAGAGTCAAGTAGAAGCGGCAGCAAAGAAAGGGTGTGAGATAAACAAGAGCAAATGGAAACTCTTACTCTCTCCTCTACAATTATCGCCCAGCAAATTTCATCTACTCCAAGACGGCATTGTAGCTTCCTCTCGGGAAAACGAAAAGCTTGAAGGCCCTTTCTTCATATTTCCGCTCATGACAAGTGCTGAGACGTACACATGGGGTAAGTCAATGAAAGCACCTTTCAATATATTGTCCAATCTGAGCTGGAGCTCCACTTTTGCTTTACTATCATGATAGCTAACTAGTCGTGAAAAGGCCCCCGAGGTGAATTCAGAGTTCTATTCAACGAAAAATGTCAGGTTGCCGGGGTCGTTCACAAGAAAACGAGTAGCAAATGCGAGAAGAATCGATGTAGCGTTTTCAAAAAACTTGTCACCTATGAGCGCTGTGCTACCGAATGATTTATCAATCAAATATCTTAATGGTAATTCGCATGGCCAATAATTCCCGCTATTGTAAAAAATCTCGGCTCAATCGAATTACTGAGTGCAATAGCCGACTATATGGACTAATTTAAGTATTGATATGACTGCCTCTTCGGCCCAAACATTTCATTTGTTCGTTCTGAATTTAATTTACCCTTTTCCTTGAGAAGGCGTCGAGAGTTATAGGGTGATTGTATATCTTGGCAAAGAATTGTGTATGATAAGACTATTTCGTCTAGTATAATGCTTAAATTAGTAATGGACAAAGACGACTTGCTTTAATGGCTATATGCTTAGATGAATAACGGTAAATTTATCGACTCGGGCTAATCCATGATAATCTGCTGTCGATAACGCCCTCAAATAATTTTGTTACCATTCTCCTGCTTCCTGGCAGTGGTCTGAACATAAGCCGGGCCCACTTTCTCGTCTCCAGGCATCAATGGAATGGTGCTGCTCTCGTTTCTATACCCTGATAACGAATGAACGGCCCAACTTGAGGTATATCCGAGTCGGGAGGATTGATACTTTAGCTTCATGGACTAGTGTAGTGGCGGATGAAGCCTGGTAGGATCTCCTAACCTCAAGGGCTGAAATCTTTTATTTCACTGCTCCCCCAAGATGAAGTGGACTCCATGGAGTAGACAAGGCCTGTGAAAGCGGTGGCATTGCCACGCGGCCCAAGGAGCTTGGTGCTAGAAGGGTGGACTGAATGGTCACCGCCGAGCTTCCTAGAGGATCTCGCTGCTTCGTCGCTAGTCAGCGGTGGCCTCAGTTGGCTCTCACTATCCAGGTCATCGACCGAGTCTTTGAAGCGCTGGTAGCCGCTACATTCTGAGCGCGTGAGAGTTAGGAATATGTATCGGCCCCGTCTGTTGTAAAAGTTGGCAGCAATCCAGTTCCCAGCGCAGCAAAGCTAGGTTCGCTTAAGTGCCCTAGCCGCTGCCGTGCAGAAGCGAGCTGTAGAAAAGACAGCATCATGCTGTGACCTGTTTTCCCTATTCGAATCCCAAGTAAATCTAAGACTGTAGCGGGATGCGCAGAAGAAGACGCATCTTCGAACTCCTTTCACTCTCAATTCACACTTCAAACATACCTATCAGAATGAGCCCTGGTGTCACAAAGGCACACCAATCGGTGTTATCTATCACGTATTCCTTGATAGTCTCTGTTAGCCAGGACTCTCTAGCCCCAAATCAACTTTACTCTCAGTTAAGGCTTTTAAGACATTTTAACGCCACCTCCAACAGCCCGAGCAACAAATAAAGATAGGAGTTTAAAATGGGACGGAAAGGTGGAGAGGACTCAGGATTTCTTGATAGTATTTGGCCAAGAGAATATCAATGAATAAGACACATGCGGGGGTAGCAGATGGGCTAGTTTAGTGACCTGTGCAGATTCTTGACTCTTGGTACAAGCTGTATACTCAACGGGCACAATATAATACTAAGGAGTCTGCACATGTCGATGTTAGGACACTTTTTCTCTTCAGCTTGGTGTTCAGACGGCCTCCTACGAGGTGAGCGATTAAGCCGGATAGTGATCCAAGCGAAGAAGATAGAAAAATGAAAGGAGAAAAATAGATGGTATGCCTTCTCTAGGAACACGTGCCTAGGCAACTCGTTACGGCAGTGGTCATGCGGTAAGTATCCGCATGAAGGCGTTGAGAAAAGACAAGCGCCCTTCCCGAAGTGCAGATGAGCAAACATATATAACTAAACAGACGCTTTATTAAGAGTGAACTTCTAATGCACCACCCCATCAAAAATAGAGATGGAAGCCTTCTATCTGGGTTAATCTAGTAAATGCTGCCAATCTCCCCGCATCAATGACTATATTCTCACCCTTCTTTGCATGAGAGACAGAGAAAGAAAGGTGTGTTTGTTGTACTACTTGAGTCACAGACTATCTAGCACATTGGACCCCTCCTTGGCCCAGGCTATTGAAGGGTTGTGATGTATATGGTAGTAGATGCTTGGTATCTTCAATTGAGTGGTTGTGAATACTCAGGGTGCTTAGAATATACTTGGGTGATTATAGCAATAAATGTTACGGGATGCGAATGGTATCTTATTATGTTATTTTCGTTATGTTAGGTTGCAGGTTATCTACATGATAATTAACCAATCCCACATACTTCCAGTTAGCGCCGTAGCTAGTCTCTTTTAGGAGTGATCTAAGGGTAAGTGTAGCGATTGGCGGTAACTAATTTATCACTAACCTATTTCCATTTCCCTGACTCTGCATGCTTAACTACCATGGTGCCAGCCGGCAAAGACGAATTCTTCACCTTCCAGTGGTGCCGGTGTAATGGCTCAGTATGTTCTGCATATCTGGGATAGCCAAGAAGAATCGCATCCGAATCGAAGTCGAAAGCAAACACATGCATATCTCCATTTGACGACTTCTCAACCATGCAGCACTCATCATTATCTTCTGAGTCCTCAACCCCGATCTAACCACATATCAACTCGCCTCGCCGACCGATAAAGGCGTCACCCCAATTGCAAACAGGAGCTTGCCTCATTCATTACCGGCCATCACTCTCTACATATTTACGACGCTATTTATACCCGCAAGGAGGAAATCAAGTCGAAAAATACAAAGTTGGGGTCTTGGTTTATGAGGGACTGCTGCTCTAATGGGGTTATACATCTTGAGGAAGAACAAGCGGCTGAGATGTGGAGCGAGAGGGGAAAGAAGTCTCTGAAGACCATGCTGGGACTGACATTTCGAGGAGTTTTCAACTTTGGATTTTTTGTGGGCGCCAAGACCAAGATTTCGGCTAATTAGCCAGGAGGGCTTCATGTATCGATGAGTCAACGGCACTCCCCAGCGCCCTGGACGGTATAAAAGAAGCTAGGCTAAGTTACCATACAGCAATCACGTTCTGTCAAGACTTTTCTGACATTTCACCACGACCTTCGGGAAGGAGGCTAGAAAGGCAGAGTGTGAATTCTCCGAGGTACACACAAGTCTGCAGCGCCCAGCTGGGCGGTCTCTTCAAACGCTTCGGAACGGTCACTATGTCTTCGGATCTAGTCCTAATTTCGGTATTAGGAGAGCTCCGCACCCAGTGGTTTTTGCGATTTTTCCCGGCTGCCATACACCCGCAAATGGTTATCGTTTCGTTGGCTGGAGAGGGGAGATAATGAAGGGCAAAGGGCTCCTCTTAGTGTATGATCAAATGAGGACTTGTGAAGGGTGGTACTGTTTAAGGGGAGCTATATGGGAGGCATAGGAGGGGATATACTACTGGCATAGGTATCCTTGGCCTACAGGCAAAGAGGACCTGCATGTCCTACATAGTCATAGATTCAGACAGGACAATAAAATGAATTAATAAACTACAGGGGTGCCACTATTTCAAGTTTTCAATGGATTTATATGGGGCGCATATTCGCTTCAGGGGTTACACCCTGTTAGCGCTGGTTTCGACAGGGTACATAATTCTTGTCCTATATTTCCAGTCCTAATACGAAGACACAATTTGATTTCATGTCACCCTCAGTTTTATGCAAATCCAACCCGCTCTCTAGTTCTTTCCCATTGCTTTGATGAGCGCCGACCGCTAAAAAATTACACAGCTCTTCTTACCTTGTGCTTGGGGGAGGACGAAGGCTGAACACCTGTCAGTGGTGTCCTCTACGAACCTGGGAGTGAAATATTCTCCCAGAGCCGAGATTCAGTCACGAAAATGGGTGGGATGAATTTTAATTGATGGATTTTCGACTTGAAGGAGTTGCACTCGATATTTTGGTCGAAAAATCAGTCGGCAGAGATTTCACAGCCGGAACAACGTCGAACAAAAAGTCATCACCACCAACATACGATTCACGAATGGGCCTAGGTCTATCTGGGGGTCGTATTCAAACATCCGACATCTCTTAAACTCCTTTTATACTTGCGACGAAGCATTTCTCAATCGATCCTACACCTGCGACCTACCTCCAGGGGGACTATTCTCAACACCTGTCAGTGGTATCCCCTACGAACCTCCAGCTCTCACTGTAGAGTCTGCAGAGCCGAGATTGAGTAACAAAGTCCTCACTTCGACGAGGATTCCCAATCGCTTTTGCTCCGTCTGTATCGTCTTCGTCTCTCAACATATTCTCCTATCACCATTATCATGAAGCTAACCAAGATCAGATCAGATGGTAGGGTCGAAGCCCTTCTCATCACCAGCCTTTGATCAATGGGGAAAAGCCATCCGATGAGTTTCCCGAGCGTACCAAGTACCAGATACGGCGATGGTGGATTGGATCATGTCGGCCTCGACCGTTACAAAGAAGGGAGATTTAGATGAATATGCGCACCTCATGTGGTCCCGGTGTCTAGGCCTCGCCTGGCTGGGGCTGCAGGTTTTTTGAGACTTTTTCCCGCGCACGCAGTTTCCATTGCTACCATTTTTATTTTTTTGGGTAGAAGGTTCCGTGGAAAAGGTGGCTGAATTCCACGGGTAAATACTGAGCTGAATGGTTATTCATCAAGGGGAATATATCAATGATCTTTCAAGTAACAAAAGAGGATAGGAGCACTGTACAAGGTGTGGCCTGGGTCAGAGAGGAGCCCAATGTGCTAGATAGTCATAGACTCAAGTAGTACAATAAAATACACACACACACACACAATTTTTTGAAATTCGAATTTTCGAATATTCACCCTTTCCCCCTCTCCCTCCCTCTCTCGATATCGTAATATCGTACGCCCTTAATTCAAAATTTGTGAGCGACTGGCAGGCTACCAATATGCCCCCAGTTCGCAGTAAGCCATCGCGGGCGAAAGACATCGTAGATAACCGCAAGCACCTCAAACACGTTGCTCGACAGAAAGCAAGCGTCAAGTTGGGCCCACTAACTGCCGTTCAAGAGATGAACATCGACCAATTAATCGACGAAAGTACCATAGATTGCGATATGATAGATATTGGCAACTTTGACATTGACAAGATTCTTAAGAATCTGAAAAGACTACCT